CCTGATCATATGTTTTCCACAGTCTGCAGAGGGCAGGCAGGGGCTAATGACCCTACACCCAAATGTTGAGCACAGTTCCCCAGTTTACAGCTTCTCAGAAAAAAAAGAATGTGGAGGTATGGCATACCTAATAACCAGTCTTCAAATTGCTATAAGAGCCACATGAGCACAGGGAATTTGTGCAATTCCACCATTCTTTGTCCTTTGCACAACAACACTAACATTTTGTAACAACTCATTTTTAAGCCTAGTTAGTCTAAAAAACAAGAACGTTAACATCTTAAAAAATACTAGGAACAGAACAACCTTGTGATATTCACCAAGTGCCAGAAAAATCCACTAGATGAAAGTGGCCAGATGTAGAGATGGTGTTTGTGGGCCCCATGACACTGCACAATGATAGTTTCTTTCCATTCTGTACCTAACCATAATGTTTATAGTTTACAGATAACATATAATATCACCTTCAAGGAGGGTGGCAGGAAAGAAACTGTAGCTCTACTTCTCATCTCTGAGGACTGCATAATTTATTTTCCTATCACTATGACCAAATTATCTGACAGAATAGGACAACAAGGGATATTCTACACTCCAATCCTGACACCCAGAGGTGACGGTTTAAAAGAAGAGATGCCGAGGGGCCTTGCTTGGTTCACATGTATGGTCGTCTTCCTCCACTGCCTCAACACTGTTATGCCTTTTGGTGAGTGTTTCTAATATTCAAACAACCACACACTGACCGAGATTCAGTTCTCAACTAGTTTTCACATCATGGTTGCAACAAAATACTTAACTTCTTCCTTCAACTGACCAATCCTGGGTTAGTCCACACCACCTGACATGCAAAGAGGCCTCATGCACACCACTTTCTTGGTGACAAGTGTCTTCAGCACTTGTCGTGCAGGTTGACTTAGGCCTAGCTGAGGGAAGGCAGAGGCTGTACTAGCTCTGGGTGTGTACCTTCCCTGCTAACTGCCTCATCATCAAAGTCCAGTTTCTAATTCACAAAGCCTTCTTTAAGCCCATTATACCCCTTGGTGCCCCTTCCTGAGTGGTGAGATTACAGGTCCTTGGGACAATAGCCCCACTGATGCAATGCCAAGGAACAAACCAACCTAAGATCTCCTGCACAGTACGCCAGTATTCACTGAAGTGACTTAACTGCCAACACATGTGGGTTTTCCCTTTTATGGTTATGAAGGACTTCAGATATAAATATATATGCTACCTTGTGTTTGGGGTCACTATGGCAGTCATGGTAGTGTTTGGGTGATGTTGCACTCCCTCTGATTTCTGGTGGAAAAATGTGACTTTTCCATGATGAGTTTCATGTCTTAATAGGGTGAAAGATGGAAGTTACAGGCAAAGTATCACTTTTATACCATGTTTGGTGACATATTTTCCCTCTTACAGGCTGTAGCTAGCCACTCGGTGACTCACTTCAGTGTCCTGGTTGGCTCTTCCATGGTGGGGAATGTTGAAAAATAAATCTATCATACATGCCTGTGATGATGTTTAAACTAATATAGGTAAAATGTGAACTCTAACTTTTTCCCTTGATAAAACTGACAATGGAAGTTGAGTTGGATCATTACATGTCAGTTAAGGGAAATACACACATATACCCATTTCCTGACATACAAATTACAAAGGTGAATGCAGAGACTATAGACACATGCCCTTAGTTTGTTACGTGGGGTATTTGTTGTTATTTTAGACTATACTAGATTGCTTATGGCCAGCAGGTGGCTCAAAAACTAGGGGTGCCCCAGGAAAAAGAAACAGTCAGTATGCACACAATTCTTGTATAAAATGTGTGCTAAGAAAATCACCCCAGAATACATACGGGAGCTGCTCTTCTGAGGCTGCATCTGCAATTAGAGAAAACACTCTTAGGACAAGATCACGCAGAGGGTGTTGGCACATTGCTTTGCTCTCCTTTGACTTAGGACTACGGCAAACAGGAGGGGAAGAGAGGTCAAGACAAGATCCAGTATTAGTCTGTGTGTGATGCTGATACAAGAAAACAAGGAGTTTTCAGTTTTGCAGGTATAGCCTACAAGGCAAACCTATCTCTTTGGCCTCTACAAATGGTTCCCTGAAGGTACAGAGAAACATGACAAAGAATGATTTCTCAATATGCATTTTTACTTTAATTTGACCTGATTCCAATACATTCATGTTACTTTCAAATCACCTCTCCAAATTAATAACTGTATCTGTATGTATCAAGTGCCTACATACATTCACTTCAACCTTACTAACATAATAAAATTAAGTTTTTGAGTTTGCAAACGTAATAGTTTTCAAACTTAAGAACTTAGAATATAGCATGACATTAACACGAACAGGAGTCTATCTATGTACAAGAGTTCAACTCAGCGTGGGTTTCTAGTGAGGGCGTCACTGTACATAGTGCAGATACACGTAGGAAGACAGGTGTGGTATAACCAGAGCTTTCCCTATGAGATTTCTGATATGATAATTGAAACTTTATAAGGCATCACAAAAAGCTAGCTTTATACGTCCCACCCCATTCATATGTACCTCTGAAGCGTGTACAATGAAACAGCTTTCACATGTCAACATGAGGAGTGCAATGCTGGCAACTTGGGGATAAAGTCAAACTATACATCCCAAGTGGGGCTTAATATGACTGGAAAAGTTGACTTCATCTTTCAAGTTCTCAAAGATGGATTTTTGTCACTGAAAAGCTAAGTAGGTCTTTTATTAAGCCTGGAAATACTGTGACATAAAGTACTTACTCTGTTTGTAAGGGAAATAAAATCGGCAGCCCCATTTCTACAATAGTACTTACATAGGAACAACCTTTAAAAGTGAAGACCTTGAGGAAAACGTTCCAAACCTATGGCCTAAAAATGGAACAAAGAACGCTGTTCCTCATGATGCTTCTTCACCAAATAAAGGCAAGTTTGTCATTAGACAAATTAGCTGTGGATGGTAACAGGGAAACATAAGCGCTCCATGGGGACAGCAGGGCTCTGAATTGGTCATCATCTTTAAGTCTGGGTAAAACTCATTATCTAAGAAAGTTCTAATTCTTTAAAGGGTGGCCATTCCAGTTTCCCATCCTAAAAGGGCAGCACAAGCATGCATGTAAAATCACAGGTAAAGAGGATCTGTGTTTAAAGTTACGGTAGCTGCAATGTAACACAGCAACATGAACGGCTGTGAGATACATGTGTCATCCTAGGTATTCAACAAAACCCCGAAGCAAACTGGTAGTCTTGTAACACTGCTACACGCCACAGTGCATGCTTTTCTCACGGTTTTAGTTGACCTCAAATGTTTGCACTATTAGGAAAAAACATTGGCTAGGTGTGATGGCACATGTCTTTAATCCCAGCACTCAGAGGCAAAGACAAACAGACCTCTGTGAATTCAAGCCCAGACTGGTGAGATCCAAGTCAGCCAGAACCTACATAGAGAGACCCTGTGTCCCAACAAAATTAAATTATAGTCCTCTTTAAATTTATAGTTAATTGGCTTTACTTACACAAGGGTTGTTGGGATTTTTTATTTTTTTTTTTTTTTTTTTTTTTTTTTTTGCAGTCTCCAATGGTGCTTAAACAACTTCATTAAGCAAGAATGGCAGTTTTAAAAAATTATGTAGAATCCTAAAATATTAGGGGTTAGTGTTCCTCAAGAATAGGCAAGTGTGACTAACTAGCAGTATCTCCCATGCTTCAGTTCCTTGGAAGCCATTCCGATGCAGCCTCTACATCCCATGATTTTGAAGACAGTGCCACTATTACTGCATTTCTATCAAAGCACATAGCACCTGGGGTTTCTTGATTTCTTTTCTTGGTGTATTCTGGACTAGAAACTGGTTCTCCAGCATACATGGGTAGCAATGTCAAGCTGTTTGAATCTTTCAGGATTTTGTTTGCACTGATTTGATACTACTGCATCTTGGGGCTCATCTGGTTCTGTGGCTGCCAACAGTGTTTGCACTGACAATAATTCCCATGACAGAATTGTTGCTGCTGCCCATGATCTTTCAATGTCTTCAAACAAATAGCCCCAGTGACAGAACCACTATTAAGATGCAACATTTTAGTGATAAACCACACTTTAGAAGCATTAAACAGATACATTTCTGGTATTTTTTTTTATCTCTAGCTGATATCTGCAATTTTCATGTGTTGTATCTGTAGGTCATGATATTTCCTCTCTTAATTCTGTAAAATTCTCATCTACAAGATCTACTTTAATTGCCTTTGTCTCTTTGTTCTCCAGTCCATCCTTGAATTCCTGAATGATTCCCTGCATCTCAAAGTTGGCCATATCTCTGCCAGCAGCTGATTCATACACACCTCCTTGGCCATGACCATGACCATGACCACAACCCCTGCTGCCACCTCTTCCTCAACCATCTCTTCCCTCAGTGATTCAGTCCCAGGTACAGCAACCTGCCACAGTTACAGTGGCAGTGCATTCCTCCTCAGTGGAGAGGTAGGGACTTCTATGAGTCAAATACCTTCTTAGGCTTGTTTCTGTGTTTCAATCATCTACCCTAAGGTTCTTGCTTTCCAGGTCTTACTTCCACAGTGTCCCACTAACATAGGGACTTCCCAACACATCAGCATTTGGGGAACACTTTCAGCCAGTATTCCCAGCATTAAACTTAGGATTCCCCAGATCAAAAAGGAGAAGGTCTTGGGAAAAATACAAGATGTTAGTAGGTAATGTTGCTGTCAATTTTTTAGTGGAAACCATGTAAAGATAATATAACCTGGAAAACTAGTCAAAAGAAAATCCCTCATAACAAACACTATGGATGCTGGCACTGGCAATGGCAATACCTCTTCAGTGAAGGATGACTTGGTACAATTCCATTTCATCAACCTCCTAAATTAACACTACTAGCTATAGTGTACATGATCAGTGTTATATAAATGTGACATTACCTAAAACAAAAAGGAAAGATGGAAATATCCTACCTCAGGAAAGGGAAAGGCCATCTTACCTTGAAGAATGATGGACCTACTTCCTCCTCTGGTACACTCTGCTCCTCCTCAGGCAAAACTAGGGAACACAAAGTGACTCAGTTCATGACAACACTTAGCAAATATAACAAGAGCTCCTGGTTTGTTGTGGGATGTGTTTTATGCATTCAATCTATTGGTCTTGCAGTCATGGGCATGGTTGATCAGAAGCACATGGGCTTCTTCTAGACCATCTTCCTACTAGGAAAATGTAAGCAAGGGACAATATGAAGACAAAGGAGGAACAATTTCTAAACAATGAGAATCTAAAAAATAGGGAACAATCCTCTTTGGTTGGCAAGACACTGAAAAAAATGTTAGTTTAAAATAACAGATTTCAATAATTTCCAACAATGTTTAAAATTTCCCTTTAAGTTGGAATCTCATTATGTAGGCCTGGCTGGCCTGAAACTCACTATCTAGACCAGGCTGATTTTGAGCTCAACAAAGATCTGCTTGCCTTTACCTGCCTCATGCTGGGATTAAAGGCATGTGCCATCATGCCTGGCTCTTACAATTTTGAAGTCAGGAAAGTGACACTGTTTTCAAACAATTTGATCCACCACAGACTGTCATGTGAAGATACTGTGCTCATCAGGAATGTAATTTTTAATACTTTGTTACTAGTATTGTGTGTGGATGTGTATAATGTGTAGAAGTCTGTCTGCTGTGGAAGATTCTGGAAATTAGGACATGATTATGTCGAGTTTGATCTCTCCCTCTAACTTTTGTTGGTTCTAGGAGTCAAATTCAGTTGCCTGACTGAAAAAGCTCATTTACCTACTCAGTCATCTCACTGGCCTTATGTATATACGTAATTCAATCTTGATAATATAAATCTAGGAAAATGGATTTAATAAAGATGCTGTTATAATTATAATTATTTGCCTTTGCTATAACATCATATCTTATTGACAAGTAAAAGCCACTGATGATCATTTTTTATGTTTTATTTGTCTTGTGTGTGTATATGTGTGTGGGTAGTCATGTGACGATCAGATGGCAACTCTCAGGAGTCCATTCTCTCCTTCCACCATGTGGGATCACATGTGGATTAAACTCAGGTCATCTGCCTTCTTTGTTGGCATCTTTACTATCTTTCCAGATCCTTATACTAATATATGATTTAAGTAACCATTATAAATTGTTTATTTCTTCTTCTGGCTTTGCTTTGCTACACCAACTATCTTGTTCACAGTGTGATGTGACTGTCTGGGTTCAGACCAGCCAACTCATGTTAAGGCAGGAAGACTGCTATTGCAGCCTCTACAAAGGACTGGGCTTCCATTAGAATGAGGCAACCATGGTAACACTGGAGTGCTACTCTGAGTGCTCAAATGTCACCATCCCAGGTTGTAAAACTCATGGAGCCTCAAAACTTCTAGGTCACACTTATAATACCTTCAAATAACATGAAAGAAACTTCTCTTTAGTGCAGGTGTCAGGAGAGATCTAGAGCTCACAAGGTGTGGGCACCCCCGATAGTGAGCATCAACAATCCCTATCCGCACTGTTTATTTCTGTGTGCTGTCTACGTCATAGTAATAATGAACTCTGACATTTCTGTAGCAATACCTGTCATAGACTATGTTACGGTGGGATTTTTGTAGGCTTATCACATGGATTTCTATATGCTTCAGAGATTCTGGAATATACACAGAAGACAATTGATCCCACAACTAAGTGATGAGCACAGGTCAACAGTTTATAGAGTCTCAGAACAAGGGGCCACACATCTACACTTCATTTTGGCTCTTTTATCTGAGGTACATTAGTTTGGGTCCATTCAATGCCTTATAACTTTTTAGTCATACCTGCAGGGAATGGAATGTGCACCATAAATAAAGAAGACACGTTTGTGCTGTTCCTAGATGACTTGATAAAAATAATGCATGTAGTATATCTTTGTTAGTGTTCTATTGTTGTGAAAATACACCATAACCACCACAACTCTTATGAAAGAAAGCACTTAATTGGGGTTTGCTTTTAGAGTTTTAGAGATTTAGTCTATTTTTAGCATGGCAACAAGCAAGCAGACATGGTCCTGGAGAAACTGGAAATTCTACCTCTGGATCCACAGGCACACTAACTCCAACAAGACCACACCTGTTTCAACAAAGCCATGCCTTCTGATCCCTCCCAAGTAGTGACACTCCCTGATAACTAAGCATTCAAGCATATGACCTTATGGGAGCATTTGCTTTCAAACCACAACAATCCTCTCCCTGGCCCCATAGAGTTATATCCATATCATAATGTAAAAATGCATCCAATCCAACTTCAAAAGTCTATATAGTCTATCAGTCTCAACACTCTTAAAACTGCAAAAATGCCAAGTCCAAAGTCACTTTTGAGACTCACCCTATCTATTAACTGTGACCCCCTATAATTAAAAGCAAAAAATCATATCACATGCTTTCAACATAGAATGGCACAGAATATACATTACCAGACCAAAAGAGAGAAAGGGGAGCAAAGTGAAGAAATGCTGAACCAGAACAAGCATCAAAACAAGCAGGGCAAACTCCTAATTGTGCATCTCCATCTCTAATGTCAAAGTACTATTCAGATCTCCACTTCTTCCAGCTCTATTGATTGACTGAAACACACTTCTCTCTCTTGGGCTAGTTCCACTTCCTGTTAGCATCTTTCCTTGGCAGGTATCCTGTGGATCAAACATCTTGGGATCTCTAAGATAATCCAGGCTTCAACTTCATAGCTTTCTGCAATGGCATTTCTAGGCCTCCTTCAGGGACACTCCTGACACATGCCTGACCTCAGAAGTTTTCCTTTGCCTTTAAGGATATTCCCATAACCCCCTTCTTCTATCCTTGACTATAAAGACAGAATGATGCGATCAAAGCTACCAAGTTCTGCTTGCTGGAACTGAAAGTTGGTCCCCTCATTCAATTACATCTGTGTCAGCTTTCTGTTTTATAGTTTCTTTGATTGCTTAGGCTTTTCTCTAACTGCTTTTCACAAGTTGGAAGCCTAGCTGGTTGTGGTCTTGCCCTGAGGTCACTATTTATTTCATTTAACATTGGACTTTTCCTGAAACTTTTTAGCTCCATTACACTTCCTGGTGCTCCTTTTCCCCTCAAACTGTACATTTTGTATTTTTCCTTGCTCAGCTTTATCCTTTTTCATTATAGATCTGCATAAGAATGACCAGTGATAACTATACTATATGTTAAAACACAATGCCAGGTAATCCTTGGATGAGCCATGTCAAAGTGGAAACCAATAATGACATACATCCAACATGTTTTCCCATATAGAGTCGCATATTGTCAGATTCAATGTGACTAAGGCAGGTGATCTCTTTTTTTGTGTGTCTGTGTATTGGTAAGTGCAGGTATCCCAGACAGGCAGAAGAAAGTATTAGATCCCTTGAAAGTGCAGTTACAGGGCTTGTGAGCCACCTTATCTGAATGTTGAAAACTGAAATCCCATTCACTCCAAGAGTAGGACACACTCTCAACTGATGTTGTTGTTATGGTGTTGGTAGTGGTTAGTGCTTTCAGAGAGGATCTCTTGCCAGAAAATTCCTGAGGCTGAGGAAGACTGAATTCCTGGTCCACCTGCATGGCCTTCTGGTTGACCAGGATTACAATTCTATATTGTACAATTCTATATTGCCAACATCCCTGTTTGGGGATCAAATCCAGGGCCTATTTCAGAAAACGTGCAGAACACCTGGGGCTTTCTGTGTCTTTCAGTTGTGAAAGCCTGCAGCTGGAGTCATATGTGCTAACTTGACCACAGCAGCAGTCAGCCATGTCGTGTTTGTGTTCCCCGTAGATTGGACTTGTTAGTACATACTGTAAAACTACAACTTCTCCATAATGGCTACTCATGTCTTGGTGGAGGGACAGTTGGGGGTTACACCTTAGAATAACACTTTTATATCATGCATCTGAGAATGTATTTTTGTGCTACCCCTGTAGATTGCCAGCTTGGTGACTTACCAGTGTGTCCTGGTTGGTTTTTCTGGGATAAGGAATGCTGAGAAATGAATCTTACATACATGACTATGATGATGCTTGAACTAATGAATGTAAGTAAATTGTGAAGTTGGATTTTTTTCATTGAGAAAATTGACATTTTAAAATAAGTCAGGTCACTGGCATATCTGTTAAGGGAAAAGTACATTCAACATTTTCTGATGTACAAAATCCTGAGCCGACTCAGGTGAATATAGATACAAGGCCATGAATTTGTTACATGGGCTGCCATTTTCTGTTTCCAATGAAATTGGCAATCATTGTTGACAACAATGATGATTATTCATAAAATAGTAGTGCACTGTACAAACCCAAAAAGTATTTACACAATTCTTATATAAAATGTGTCCTAAGAGTCATTCCAGAATACATACGGGATCTTTGTTTTCTCGACTGGACCTGAAATTTAGAGAAAACAGGCTTAGGCTATGACAGTGGTTCTCAATCTGTGGGTCATGACCCTTTTAGGGGTCCAGTGACCCTTTCACAGGGGTCACATATGAGGCATCCTGTATATCAGATATTTACATTACAATTCACAATAGTATCAAAATTACAGTTACGAAGTAGCAACAAAAATTATATGGTTGGTGGTTACCACAACCTGAGGAACTATATCAAAGAGTCATGGCATTAGGAATGTTGAGAACCACTGGGCTAAGAATAAGCTGACTTCTGTTTCCATGTGTCTCTGGTTCCCCTGATAATTTATGGCAATGGTAACAGGAAGCGAAAGGGTGCTTAAGTCAAAATTTCATGTTACCCTGTAAAATGATACTGGAACCAAACATCCAATGCTGCATATCATGTGAAGAAAATAAGTACATTTTACATTTGCTGAGTCAACCCACATCGAACAGCTCTATCTCTTCAGCCTGTACTAAGTGTTCCCCCAAAGCTACACTGGAACATGGCAGAGGAACTTTATATCAGCCTGCTCTTGTGAGATGGATCCCTTCTAAGAGATGCTTCCATGTCCAGATTCTTACCCTAAGCTTTTGGCTTTAAAGCTTTCACTAACTTGATGCTCCTCTAATGTGCATAGGAACCTTGGACCACATCAGCATTTGGGGGACACACTCCATCTGTCTTAACAACTAACATGTTCCCACTGGAATGAAAATCACACATCGAAACAGCAAAACAACTGCTAGAAGAAAAGGCCTCCTAACACACACTGTGATTCTACACCAGCATTTGCATGCCTTCTTCAATAAAGGATGAACTGATACAATTCCATTACATTATCTCCCACAGTAAAGCCTGTAATTCCTATGATACACATGATCAGCTTATTTTACTCTAACATCATATCCACTAAAGTATAAAGGAATCAAGAAAGTGAGCTTTTGATCTTAGAAAAAGTAAGTGCAATGTACCTTAGCTAATGATGATGCTGCCTCCTCCTCTTGAGAGGTCTTCATTTGGTCCTCTTCGGATGACACTAGGAGAACATGATTAACTCTCAACTCTTGGTATTGCTTATTAAATACTAAGGGCTCCTGGCTTGAAATGGACAATTGTCTATAGATTTAATTTGTGTGGCTAGTTTTAGGGGGTGTAGTCGATTAACAAGCATAGTTGTGTTGCTGCATTGAAGACAAATGAAGAAAAGAACTTCTCTGCTTTCCATACAGTGGGAATATATATAACTAAAGCAACATGAAACAATCCATCTTGGTTGGATTGGCTAAACACTCAAATAAGTGTTAAGTTAAAATGACATATTTCTGTCACTTATTCAGACAATTTTGAGGTCAGGAAAACTGACTCTACTTTGTAGATACATGTCAGACCAATTTTAGCCACCATAGATGGATATATGCATAGATAATAATCATCATTGAGCATGTAGGAGGTTTTATAAAATTACATATTTATTATTCTGTGTATATGTGTATATATGATATATGTGTGGAGTTTACATGCTATGGCACATGTATGGAAGTCAAAGGACAATTTTGAAGGTTTTCATTTAATATTTTTGATTTATGTATATGAGTGTTTTGTCTGCATGAATGTATATGCAACACATGTATGCTGGTGCCCACAGGAGCCAGAAGAAAGCATTAGATCTCCTGAAACTGAAGTTTAAATAATCGTGGAGATACTAGGAATTGAACCCAGGTCCTGTAGAAGAGCAGTAAATGTTCTCAACCACTTCATTTATCACTCATTAAATCTCTAGAGACCCAATTTTGAAGGTTTCTCCCTGTCTCCTGTGTAGTATGTGCATTCTGGGACTAAAACTCGGCCACCAACTTTGGGAATCAGGCACTTTTACCTATTGAGCTATTTCACTGGCCCTAGCATAAAGACTTTACTCTTCATAATGTACATTTGATCTGGGAAAATACATATAAAATTAGTTATAGATGTAATAATATGGACCTATTCATCATTCAACATAAATAACTTACTAAAAAGTAGAAGACACTGATCCTCATATATTTTTAAAGTCACCTCTACACATCACATATTTCTCCTTCTTGCTTTCCTTTACTGTGTCATCATTTGTATTCATTATATAAAGTGGCTGCCTGGGTTCATTCCAGAGAACTCACACTAAGGTGGGGAAGGACAATGATATGGCACCCATGAACAACTGAAGATAGATAGATAGCATTGTCCCACAGCAGAGTTTCCACAAAGGTGAAGCATCATGCTAATATATGTAACTGGCCCAAGGTGTGTAGCTCACATAGACTCACAACTCCCTGGTGTAACTTGCACTGCCTTTAAATGTCAGTAGAGGATCTCAGTTTTGAAATGGTTTTAAGGCAAGGAGGGATCTGGTACTCACACAACATGGATGACCCAAGCAGTGAGCGTTAACACTCTCTATCAGCACAAAGTCAGTGTACTTTCCACAGCATGATGGTGATGAAATCTAACATTTCTGCACCAATACCTGCCCCAGGTTATGGGAGGGTAGACTGTTCCTAATCGCTTGCATTTCCACCAGTGTCAAAAATCCAGAAATGTAAACAAACGATGGATCTCCTTGAGTGGCAGAAGCAACAGTGTGGTGCTCAGATCAGAGGCCTCAGGTCAGATCTTCTCTGCTCAGCCCTTTCACCTAAGAGAATTATGAGCTCGGAGACATTCATCACTGTGCCTCCTTAACCACACCCAGGAAGTGTGCATCAGAAGAACAACATATGGCAAAGCTGCTCCTGAGTGACCTGATGGACATAATGTTGTGCAAATGCTCATCAAGCTTAGTTACTGGCAGACTGCACTGCCTGAACCTCACAGCTTAGTGTTCTTCACAGATTCATCCGTAGTCCCAGATTCTAAATTTACACGGCACTGTTCTAGGATGAAAGCCTTCTTGTCCAAAGTGCACCAATTTAATTTCAGATGCAGATTGGACAGAGTCAGATGAAAATGTTTTAAGTGGAGGTTGGGGAGATGGCTCAGTGGCTAAAAGAAGTTTTGTAGAAGACCAAAACTCAGTTTATAGCACCCACACAGAGGTTCACTAACTCCAGATCTAGGGAATTTGATCCCATCTTCTGGCTCAGTGGGCATGAAGTGTGCCTATGAGGGCAAAACAGTCATGTGGAAAAAATAAAAAATAAATTATCAAAAAACCTTTTAAGATTAAAAGTGATGCCTGTGTTACCTCGAGTGCACATTCAGTGCCTATTTCTAAAGCAAGGAAACCATTGTTTTCCAGCATGTTTCAGGTACCTGACCATGGCCCATAGACCCACAGAATCAGGCAAATGCAGAACACTGGAGAGATTAACATTTTTATATTAAGATATCTGTGATTGTTAAGACCTGGAAGACACATCTTATATTAAGGCCTCACAAACATGAGGGTCTCTCCATTTAGGCACTGGCCAATTCATAGGAAAGTCCTTAGCTTTCAAGGCAAGAGCTTTAACAACTATCCACTCTGCCCTCAAAAAAGGACATTAGGAAGGATAAAAATGGGTGTTTTATGGTGAAAGCCACAACTTTTCACATAATACATTAAAAACTTCCATTTTATTTATGCCGATAAAAACTAGCTTTTAAGATTCCACAGATTTATGTTTGGATGATATATGTTCATTCTGTCTGATATTCTTTACTGTTAAAAACTCTGTAATGTGTTTGATTTCAACAAAAGAGAGCACATGAAATAATTAAGATACATATTCAAGAAGACACCAAGAGGAAAAAGAAGCAATTTCTGCTTGGAGTATACTTTCTTTTTTCTTCTTTTGGATTTTCGAGACAGGGTTTCTCTGTGGCTTTGGAGCCTGTCCTGGAATTAGATCTTGTAGACTAGGCTGGTCTTGAACTCACAGAGATCCACCTGCTTCTGCCTCCCTAGTGCTGGGATTAAAGGCGGGTGCAGTCAATGCCCGGCTACTATCTTTCTTTTTAGAAGAAGAATCATAAAGAGGCAATAAAGAAGCTGCGTCGCTGTGCTTCTGACTCGAGTCTGGCCTATGTGACATGAGATGGTAATAGTTCTGGTTTGAATGTGGAATGCCCCCAGAGGCTGTATTTGAACACTTGCTCATAGCTTGTGGTGTTGCTTGGGAAGGATTTGGAACCTTTTGGAGATGGAGCATTCCTGGGAAATGCTTCTGGGAACAGAAGTTGAGGCTTGAGAGGTAAGCCCTACTTGTGTTCCATCTCTGCTTCCTAAGTATGGATGCAATGTGAAGAGCTGACCCCTGGGCTTGCTTCTACAACTTCCATGAGTCCTGCCATGTATTCTCCATCCTTGTGGGATTATCCCTTTGTACTATGAACCAGAGCAACCCCTTCCACCACTAAACACCTTTTAGTGACAGCAGGCCTTTGGTCACAGCAATGAGGGAAGTAACTACCACATAGTGACCAGGGGTAGGGTCCCTCCATTGCTTTTGCCTATTTGGGTGTACATTAAACTGACCCTCTCTTTCCCACTGCCTCTCAAACAGCTATGTGACTGTTCCTGGACTCTTCCATGGGATCAGACTAGGAATGCCATCCTTATCCACCAGTTTACCCCTCCTTGCTTTGCAGGTCCCTCACATTCGCCCTGCATCTTCTTGTCACTGTTTATTCTGTTTAGACCATGGCTGTCTGAAGTATAGTGAGAAGAGAGCGGCTCACACACACACACACACACACACACACACACACACACACACACACACTGGTGTCTGTAGGAGGTAAAGCCACATTGCCTGACACAAGAACGACCTTGGTGTCCCTGTGCTCTGTATCAGAGAGAAGAAACTGAGTATATGCATGTTATGTGTACATCTGTGCTGTCTACATGTATGTCTGCAGTACACACTGCTGGTGCCTGTGGAGGCCAGAAAAGGGTGTCAGATCCCCTGGAACTGCAGGTACAGGTGGTCATGAGCCATGATGTGGGTGCTTGGAATGGAAACCACATCCTCTGAAAGAGCAGCCAGTGCTCTAAACCACTGGGCCATCTGTCCAGACCCTTTAAATTCATTGTAAAACATCTTTCCAAATGTTATGGTGTGGTTTTCAAGAGCTAGTTCAATTAACATTCACACTAAAAAAATACTGTTTCATCCCTTTTACATATGAGATGCAGTATAATCTATAACAGAAGTGAACAAAAACTTTAAAATTTCCACAATACTTTCAAAAGTACTACAGTTTTCTTTATTTTGATGTACTGCAACTACAGCATGCCATTGTATCACTTTTCTCTTAAAACTTAGTCTTCTCACCATAGCTAAAAATGGAATGTATTCACAAGAAAAAGAGTTAGGCTAGCTGAATGGTTCTTTGAAAAAGGGAAATGAGTTAACTATTCTGCTTTTAAATATTTGATCTCATTATTTGCATCCAAGAACACTCATTTGATTCAGAATGAGACTTCCAGAAGACAGTAGATGAGTGTACACTTAAAGTATGTGCTATATGACCAGTGTAGGTAAGGTGTCTGTTTAAATTAATGAAGCAGTGCTATATTACTGACACAGAGTTAATGAGTGTGTGGATGGGGGGGGGGGGTAAAACCTGAAGGTCACCGTCTACATTACTAAAGCATTTCACACTTCTTTGCAGAAGAAGCCTGATTGTGACAAGCATGCAGTGTGTCTTCCTATGCACAGTCTCCCATCCTCAGATTGATGGTCTGACTAAAAGCAGGTTAACTTTTACCCCATTTCTCACTTTACATTCTCTACTTGTTTCCCCATTTTGTTATGCTGCTGTCAGATAGGGACTCTATAACAGCTCAGGCTGGCCATGAAGAACCAGATAACCTCATAACCTCGAACTCCTAATCCCCATTTCCACTTTTGGGGTCCTGGCATTATAGGCCTGTGTTCCAGTATCCCAATTTATATAGTGCTAAAGATCAAAGACAGGGCCTCCCATGTGATAGGTAGACCCTCCTACTGCTGGAGTTACAGCCCAAAACACATGGCCTTTTTCTATCATTCACACTAGAGAATGTCTGCACCTTGGTGCTTAAGATGATACATTAGGCTTATGACCACTCAGTTGTAATCATAGTTTTTGAGATCTCTGGAGGTTTGACTTACTCCAGGTACAACTAGGAAACTGGAACCCTTCTGTAGTGGCTGATGATGTTTTGATGGGGTGATGTGTGGAAGTTTTAGCTCATAGTATCTGTACTGGATCACATTTGCACACATAATATGGATCTTGGCCTGAATGGCTACAAAGATTGGGGCACTTAAATCTTTGCCTTGCTTGATTAGTCTATGGAGGAGTACACAAACATACAAAAGCCCCATGCATGACTGTGATGCAGTCTGAACTAATTAATGGATATTTCATTGGGAAAATAAACATTGGAAACTGGGGTAAGATCTCAGTTTATCTATTTAGGAGAAACAGCAGACACATCCTGATGCACAAAATCTCACAACCAACTAAGATGATCACAACAGAATGCAGGCAAGATACACAAAAGGCCATCATTTGTTACTTGAGATACACTTTTTGGGTTTTTAAAAAATAAAGTCCCGATCCTCATTGCCAACAGGTAGCTGAGACCACAGTGCTGCATCTGAGAAAAGACAAGCAGGAATTATACAATTCTTATCCCAAATATATCTTAAGAAACTGAATCCGTGATACATACAAGTTCTTTTCTTCCTTGACACCACCTACAATTTAGAGAAAAGAAACACTCTTAGGCCTTAGAACATAGCAAATATCTGGCTGTGTCTTTGTTGGGTGGATTTTATGTTCTTTGGTTGCTGATGCCCATTCTGGATGTTTAGATAGGTGTGGCAGCTGCATGGTCCCTGGTAGAGCATGCTTCTGTGGATCATCAGGTGACAGGCGAGAGGAGAAGGGCCAGGAGGAGAGGCTGAGAGGGAACCTGGGTCTGCACTAGGAGGCAGAGTACCCAGGGAGCTGAGGTAGGTGGAAGGAGGGACTTCTATTGGCAGGCTGACAAGATTAATTATGGAGAGATCAGAATGGAGGACAGATAACATCGTCTGAGTCTCAGCCCAGTGTGCCCACTGGGGTTCCCTGCTATACTGCTTCTCCTAACGCAAGGGGGTATGGACTAGAAAGGAAACAGAGTTGGAGGGAAAGAACTAAGGGGACTCTGGGTCTGCACCACAAAAAGGAGTCCCCAGGGAATGCAAAATGCAAGTTCTTCATGAATAATATGTCTGTACTTTTTGATTGAACATTACACAATATTAAATCTAAAGAGGAACACTAATTCAAGAGGAAATAACATCCTAACATACTTCTGAAACTGACATTTTGTGTATCTTTGTGAGTCAGGAGTGAGTTGATCTAATTTTTCTGACTCTTCCTAAGTAAACACACTAATACTTATAGTATGCATGATGTTTTTATTATTCAAATGTGTATCAATTAGAAATAACAGAATATGGACATACCTTTCTATCTTAGAAAATGAGATGGCTATCTTACCTTAGATGACTTTGCCTCCTCACCTCCTGAGGCCTTTATCTGAGTGTTACCTAGGAGGGCACAAAATAACAGTCAGTGCATGGTACTGCATGTATTACCCAGAGCTCTTCGCTTCATATAGACAAAGATCTATGGTCTTAATCTATATGCTTGGGCTGAATGGATGTTGTTGTCAGATATGGCTGGGCTAGTATTGGACCATCCAATAGATTGGAAAAGGACAGTGAGAGTAGGCCAGAATGAAGGTGAAGGACAATATTTTTGCCCTTCTAAGTAATGGAAACCTAAAGCAGTGTAAAGCAATCCATCTTCAACTGGGTAAACATGGAAATAAGTTGTATGGTTAAATGAGAGCTTTACCATATTTTGATCAGTCTAAAGATCAAAAAAATTGGCAATGCTTTCTTATCTTTCAACCCATTTCAATGCCACAAACTCTCTCAGACTCTCTGACTTTGTCTCTGTCTGTTGTCTGTCTGTCTGTCTCTCACACACAAACAAACAAACAAGCAAACACAGAGTCTGCATCATTACATATAGGAATTTAAACTTAATGGTATGCACATTGTCAAAGATAAATAGACATAGAAGCAGGCACAAGTTGTAATTATATTTATACACTCATCCTCTGATATACAAGAAGAGATTACTGAATGACAGAAGGGATAGGAATTCACATACAGAATCCATAACACATTTTGTTCTCTTCTAGTTTTCCTTTGCTATGCCATCCATTTGTGTACATTGTGTGAGTGAGTGTTCAGTTTTTGACCAATGAACCCTCTGAGATGGGTGAGAATGGGGATCTGGACCCTAAACTACCCAGCACAGTTATTTAACCCAACTCTACATCAGACAGGCCAGAAAATCTGATGTACTGTGTTAACAGGGTAGTGCTACTATGGGATTTTATGTGTCACTGTCACAGGGTGTGTACTTATATAGTCTCAGACCTCTGTTATCACTGAAGGACACCCCAATCCAAACTGACTTTCGCACAGGTGGGTGGAATGTTCCAGAATTCCTAAAAATGTGCATGCCCAATCCCCAGTATTTGCAAAATAAGCAAAACCATTCTGTGTGTTTTCCACATAACTATGGTTGAAATTTGGCATTCATATTGTAATACCTGCCCTGGAGTTTATGAGCATGAGCTCTGCCTCATGAAGTACATACTGCACAGGATTTCTAAAGGCTGGTAAAGATATAGACATTTACACTGGTTTTAGACCTTCTTCTATGGTGACTAAAGACCCCACAGCTGAGTGATGATCCAGGTCAACAGTCTATAGTGCCAGCATCAGGACCACAATCCAGGTTCTCACCTTGGCTCTTCCACAGAAGAGCAGAGTAGTTTGGGTACTTTCATCACTATCTGTCTTTGGTTCCACCCCTGGGATGTGAATAAACAGTAGTCAAGCCTGTGCTGTTGGTGTGTGACTTAATGAACATAGAGCATGAAGAGTGAATGCTCAGGAAAGTTACTTATGGGGAAAATGTACTGCCAAAGTCCTCCCAGCTCCATCCAAGTGATAACCTTCTATTCCAAATTCCCAAGCCATTGTTCTTCTATGACATATGTCTGCTTGGAGGGAAAGCAGCCACTTTCATTTTATCCAGACTCAGGTCAGTCAGTCAGAAGTTTAACAGGAATGTCTGAGTATATACTCAGTGTCTAATCCTAAAGTAAGGCCAATATTGCTCTCTTCAGTGTTCCTTGTGTGACTGTGATGGTCAGTGGATTTGTTTCAGTGACGTAAAGCCCAGGACACTGGGTGGATCAACATTCTATAGTAAAGCATCTAGTATTATAAGCGCCAGAAAATCCACTACTTTACATTATTAATGCCTCACAAATATGAGGACCTTTATGTGTAGCTATTGGCCATAAAAACATGAAGCCTATAGTTTACCTTTTTGAAAGAACTCAAAAGTGAAAGCTCAGGAGAGTTAAGCCACATAACACATGAAAACATGCTTAGCCATTAACATCTTTTCAGTGCTACAAATCTATATGAAGACTAACACAATTACTTCTGTGGACAGTTTGCATTGGTCATTTTAAGACACATGTACATTTACTCAATGCTGAATATAAGTCAATATTAAGTACACGTTCTTATTCATCAATCACTGTAACTTACCTCAATTCTCTACTTTTGCAAATTGAAATAGTGACTTTTCATTGAAAAATCAATTTCCATTTGTGAAAATGCTTACCTCTGAAGGGAAGTGAGATGGAAAATTACCTATAATTGAGATTTCTTGGCATTTACATAAGACACAGAATATGCTTTCAGTTCAATTACATAAAGTACAAATCCCTAAAAACTTTCACACAAATGGAAAACACATGTCCATAATTCCCTGAATTCAACACATCTTTCCAGGAGAGACTGTTAAAAAAAATAGGATGTAGATATATAATTATGCAAAATACCTCAGATTATCAACATTTTGGATTCCTTCCAGTTTTCTGAGATTAATTTTAGTACATATAACCTAAATTATAAGATACATTAGCTGGTTATTGTAGCATAAGCCTTTAATCCCAGCACTCAGGCAGAAGGGACAGTGAGATCTCCTTGAGGTCAGTCTGGTCTATATAGTGGATTCCAGGACATTTAGGGTTATTCAGTGAGATCGTATCTCGTGTGTGTGTGTGTGTGTGTGTGTGTGTGTGTGCGCGCGTGTGTGTGTATGTGTGTGTGTGTGTGTGTGTGTGTGTGTGTAAAACAAAATAGCTGTAAATACACCAAAGAATATCTATGGAAGAACTGGATGAATCAAATAAATAACTTATAGAACAAAACTATGAAGTAAAATCAAAATTGCATATATTATAGGGAAAATTATTTGAACAAAATATGTAGAGAAATGATGATCAGTACAGTTGAGGGGATGACATTCAAAGATGAGTATAACCATACCTCTACAGATGCAACCATTCCCCATTTCTTAATCTTTCTATTGAATCAATATATGTAATTCTCTATTCTTTGTGTGTATGTTGAGAAATTTCAAGTCACACTGAAACTCAGAAGTGAAGCATGACTATAATATATAATCATACAACCATGGCAACACTATGTCACAGAACTTTTCAGAATGAATTCACAACACACATTGTGACATCCAGCATCTGCTTGGTCACTGAGCCAGCAATTGGCTCAGCTTGTAAGAGCATGTGGCCATATAAGCCTGTTTGGTCTATTGAATCTATGGTGAAAGGAGAGAACCAATTCCCCAAAATACCTCCATCCATGCACCATGGCACGTATTGCCACACTAATATACACACCAAGCATGCACACAATACTAGTTTTTGAAAGAACAAGTTATTGTAAGTGATATTTATGTATAATATTCTGTCCTCAAGATTATGTCTATCAAATTACATGTTTTGTCTCATCTATTGATATTATAAAGTTCTTTGAATACATCTTGGCTTCACTGAAAAAGTTTTCTAGCACTGCGTATTTATGAGCTAGTATTCACTGAGAAAATAGCAGGAAAGGTGGTTGTCTAAGATCATTGTCTTTGGGTATAAGCATGATTTTATTACTCTATATAAAATTTAAAATAACCTTCAACATGACACTCCACCTATAAGTTTTATCAACATGGATGCCTAGGCATGACTGAACAAGGATAGCACTAACAGACATGCTAAAGTGGAAAGGGGAAAGTCCACACACCCTTAAACCTACACAAAGAACTATGAAAAACTGAGGAACTCCAACAGGAGAAATAGTCTTCCCCAGGGAAGAGTATCCAGTACCAAGTGGTCAGCCCTGAGGGCATGACATAATTAAAATGATATAGACTAAGCAGGTTATATTTAAGAATGTATATTTACCTATATGCATATAACAGAAATTAATGAAAAAAGAACAAGGAGGGGATACATAGAAGGGAGAGAGGAATTGGAAGCAAGAAATAGTTTAATTATATTATAATCTCAAAGATTTTTGAGGGGGGGTTGAGACAGGGTTTCTCTGTATTGCTTTGGAGCTGGTCCTGGAACTCACTCTGTAGACCAGGCTGGCCTCGAACTCACAGAGATCCTCCTGCCACTGCCTCCTGAGTGCTGGGACTAAAGGCATGTGCCACCAACACCCGGTTCAAAATCTTTTTTAAAATCTATTTCAGAAGGCAAAGAAGAAAAAACAGCTGGCTATACTACTGCCCTGTTTCTCCTCCCCACAGATGCAGATGCAGATGCCCTCTCACCACACACTGGGCTGATGTGAGCAGCAACTGGCTCAAGACGCTTGGGAAGATTTTTATTTCCTGTCTGTTTCATATTTATGAAATAAATGTATGTGAGAGGCATGGCCACATGTGTGTGCTTCTGACTTCTGAATGCCTACATCCTATGTGTTTCACAATCATGTGACTTGGTTTGTGGACAGGTGCCATCTTTACTAAGGGTGAGCATGTGAGCTGGCAGCCATCTTTTTTTAAATTTTACATATGGATCCCAGTTTCACCCCCCCACCCATCCCTAATCCACTCCCCGGGGAGGGTGAGGCCATCTATGAGGGATCATTAAAATCTGTCAAGTCATTTGGGGTAGGGCCCAGGTCCTCCTCTATGTCTCTAGGCTAAGGGAGTTTCCCTCCATGGTGAATGGGCTCCCGAAGTCCGTTCCTGCACTACGGATACATCCTAGTTCCACTACCAGAGATCCCAAAGACTGCCCAGGCCTTCAAACTGACACCTACGTTCAAGGGGTCTGGGTCAGTCCTATGCTGGTTTCCCAACTATCAGACTGGAGTTCATGAGCTCCCCTTGTTCAGGTCAGATGTTTCTGTGGGTTTCTCCAGCCTGGTCTTGACCCCTTTGCTCATCACTTCACACTGTCTGCAACTGGATTCCAAGAGTTCGGCTCAGTGTTCAGCTGTGGGTGTCCGCTTCTGCTTCCATCCACTACTGGATGAAGGCTTTAGGATGGCATATAAGATAGCCATCAATCTCATTATCAAGAAAGGGCAATTCAGGTAGCCTCTCCACTATTGCTTAGATTGTTAGTTGGGGTCATCCTTGTAGGTCTCTGGACATTTCCCTAGTGCCAGATTTTTCTTTAAACCTATAATGGCTCCCTCTATTAGGGTATCTCTTTTCTTGCTCTCCTCTATTCTTTCCCAGACTCAACCTTCCTGCTCTCTCCCCTCCTCTTCTCCCCTTCTGTTTCTCCTAACTCCCTCTCCCCTCTGCTCAGGAGATCTTGTCCTTTTCCCCTTCTGTGGGGAACTATGTATGTCTCTCTTAGGGTCCTCCTTGTTTCCTAGCTTCTCTGGCAGTGTGAATATAGCTGGTGATCCTTTGCTCTGTGTCTAAAATCCATATATGAGTGAGTACATACCATGTTTGTCTTTTTGTGACTGGGTTACATCACTCAGGATTGTTTCTTCCAGTTCCATCCATTTGTCTGAGAATTTCAAGATTCTGTTTTTGTTGCTATTGTCATTGTTTGTTTTGTTTTTCCCGCTGAGTAGTAATCCACTGTGTAAATGTACCACATTTTCTTTATCCATCCTTCAGGTGAGGGGTATCTAGATTGCTTCCAGGTTCTGGCTATTACAAATAATGCTGCTATGAACATAGCTGAACAGATGTCCTTGTTACATGAATGTGCACCTTTTGGGTATATGCCTAAGAGTTGAATTGCTCAATCTTGTGGAAGACACACTTCCATTTTCCTGAGGAACTGACATACTGATTTCCAAAGTGACTGTACAAGTTTGCACTCCCATCAGCAGTGGAGGAGTGTTCCCCTTTATCCACATCCTCTTCAGCATAAACTGTCATTGGTGTTTCTGATTTTAGCCATTCTGACAGGGATAAGATGGCATTTCAGAGTTGTTTTGATTTGCATTTTCCTGATGGCTAAGGATGTTGAGCTCTTTCTTAAGTGTCTTCAGCCATCTTAGATTCCGCTATTGAGAATGCTCTATTTAGTTCGGTACCCTACTTTTTAATTGGATTATTTAGTGTTTTTGGTGACTAGCTTCTTGAGTTCTTTGTATATTTTGGAAATCAGCCCTCTATCAGATGTGGGGTTGGTGAAGATCTTTTCCCATTTTGTTGGCTGGCTGGAAACCATCTTTACTAAGGTTAAATACTACAATTCTTAATGCTAATGAGCTCTCCCTCTTCAGGCTGAGGGTACTTTAACTCACTGTGCATATGTATATGTAACTTAAATTCAACTGCTGTACATGTACATGCAACTACGGTTCTGAAAAAAATGTTTTAAACAACCACAATGATCTCTTAAACAATCCTAAAAAGTTCTGTTCATTATACCTTCTAAAACCAGTAAGTCTCTTACATTTTTAAATTGGTATATACTCTTATATGGTGATAAAAATTTAAGGTTATAAGGATCTATTCAGATTTAAAAAAGCAAACTTAAAGATTTACACTTAAGTACTTATGCCTTTGCCAAGGGTTCAACACCAAGCTTCTAGAGAATTTAGGTAAGTAACAATATATGTTTGATACCCACTGGATGGCTATCTTGATTTCTTTCCTGAGCTCATTAAAAGGTTTTATTTTGACACTAAAGGAACTTCAATTCAACATCATTATTTTTAAGGCTAAACCTCACAGAAATGTAATGTAAACTCCTAATCTTATAAAAGCTGCCAACCTATTGTAGACTGTTGTGGGATACAGGTTAAGAGTTATCTTATAAATGATAATCTCTTTAATTGTGGTCATGCTGGGCAGTGATGCAATTAATTACAGGGTTAAAGCCTTACCTAGCCCCCTGTGTGCTTAAGACAAGTAACTAAAGACATCTCAGATATATCCAATAGACAGTCCTAAAATGTTCAGAGAGCTGCAGAATACAGCATTCAAAATGTTTTATTAAAAAGCTTTTCATAATAGAGAGACATGCTAGCTCCTGGAAGCACCCCTATTACCTCCAAAGAAGATGTATCGGCTGAAGAAACTCCACCTGAAACTTACCTCAGTGTTACTCACTGAGAAAACCTGCCTTTCACCTCAACTGCTGCAAAGACCTCTTCAAACTGTGGACAACAGGACACTGAAGAATCTGCCTCAAGTTGTCCAGGCCAACAGTAGGCTGAGTCTTCCTACAAACTCTTAATCCACAGAGACCACAGAGCAAGCTGGGTAAGGGAAGCTGGGAGATACTTGTTTTCCTACCGGGACTACTTCAACTACTTGACCAAGGAACAGGCTGAACATTACCTCAGCCTCTTTCTGCCATCTGGTGGCAACAAGACAGAAAGACATGAGTATATGACAAGCAGAGGGACAGGAAGGCAGCAGCAATTGCTCCCATCATGTATGATTTAAGTTTGGTCACCAAGTGACCCTACCCCACAATATCCGAGGGAGTCATCCATTCTGCCCCTGCCCTCTCCCTGGGCAAGGGTTCAACCAGCCCCTCCCCTCTCCCTGGTCAAGGATTCAACCAGCCCTTCCAAGTTGGGCCTAAGTCACCAAGCTGCAGAGATGGAAGGCCTGTGTAAGGCCCACAGTCACAAGGGACACCATCATACTGCATAGTCCCAGTCTCCTCTGTGCAAACAGCCTGATCCACCCAGGTGAACAGAGGGAGGACTATGGGTTTAGGGGTGAGTAGATAATGGGAGGAGAATCCTGAGGAAGGGACAGACAGCTGAAACCTTCGTTCCAACCTTTAGTCTACAGAGCACTCCAAAGAACGTGCTGGAGGAAGATAATGGCTAAAGCCTGTGCCAGCTAGGAAGCCTGCCTCCCAAGAAGAGATTTCACACAGTTCTGACAACTTATGGGATCACCTAGCAGGAGAGACTGGAGCAGAGACAATGATAGGTCATTGATTGGTGAGACCATACCTTGATCCAGACTGCTTAGTCTTGTATACCTCTTACCCTCTTTTTAAAGCCAACTTTATTTTAGTGTCCTAAAGATGGGCTTGGGGGAATCACTGATTCCTTCGTTTGTTCCTCTCTGAATGTGGCCACACTGAATAATTCTCTTTTCTCTGCTTTTCATTATTATCCATATCTTTAATTGGTATTGGATACCAATGGCCAGGCCTACCTTGTTGGGGCTTCCAAGGTCCAGTCTACCCTAAAAACTCTGTGAGTTCGAGGTCAGCCTGACCTACACAGGGAGTTTTAGGACAGACTCCAAAGCTACAAAGGAACCCTGTCTCAAAAAATAAAAATAAAAATAAAAGAGCAGTTTCTCAATTCCTGCTGCATAGTTATGGCCAAGAAAGTTCCACTTGGTTCAGACAGGGTCTCATGGAGTCCAGGCTGACCTTCAACTTGCAGACATTCTGCACACCCTCTTCCAGCATCCAAGAGCTGGGATCACAGGTGTGCACGCCAAAGTACTTTTCTAAGCCAGGTTAAATACTCTCATCTGAACAAATAGCATAGCAGCACTTGGGGGACTCAGTCTCATAAACCTCAAAGGCAAAGCAAGGGTGCTAATACAGCATAAATGCTGTCTTGCCTGCCTGGCCTGTCAAGCCTGGCACTGATGGGGTTAGGGGAACATGCTCCTCACCTTGTCAGTTTCTTTCTACCCAGTGCTTGACCATCAGGTCCCCAGTGTCCCTTAGAGGTGCTTCATGTGAACAAAGGGCAGGCATGGGAGCTGTCAAGAGCCCAGGGCCCAGGAGCTCAGGTCATTCCCTCCTTCCAGTGAGAGGAAGCCCTCCCATGCCCAACTAATTCCAGCCTAATGTCTTGATGGCCCCAAGCATCCTATACAAAGGCCTCTGCTGGGGACATTCTTTATCCAGGACCCAGAAAATCCACCAAATGGCTCTGACACCCCTGTAGTCAGTATCATTTGATCTACTGGTCAAATGATAAATCTGTAGTTCATTAGGATGTTCCAGGAGTTTCAGACCATGAGGACTGACTCCTCCTTTAAGGGTTGGCTTGGGACCCCCCCCCCCATCTCCAGTTACACTAATAACACTGGAAAGGTAAATAGCAGCTTTGCATTGCCATATAAGGGATTGGAGAGATGGCTTAAGGGTTAATGTTAACAGCGCTTCTTGCTCCCCCCCCCCCCCCCGAACAAATTCGGTTCTCAGCAACCACAGCAGGTGACTGTAATTCCACTTCCAGAGGATCCGAGGCCGTCTTCTGCTCTCTGAGAGATACTGCACATAGGCAAATATACACCCACAAAATAAAATAAATATTTTTTAATTAAAACTAATGTCTGGTGTTAGAAAACCTGCAGGTAATTTTTCCTGCTATGCTATGGCCGTCTGTGCATCAAATATTTATTTATCTATTATTGTGTGTGCACGGTGCATGTGTGGGCAGACATACTGTGTCACGGTAAATATGTGGAGGTCGAGGGCAATTTCTGTGAATTGGTTCTCTCCTTTATACGCAGGTTCTGGGATCGAACTTGGGCGCTTCTCTAAGCTATCTGGGCAGCTTTAGGTTTGGGGAGACAAGGTCTCTGTAGCCCAGGCTGGCCTGAACCTCTGGCCTTCTTGCCTGCCCCTCACGCTCTAGGCATTCAGTAAGATTTTCAAAACAATTTTGCCATGCTCCACAGGTGTTTATAATGGTATTGCTCACAGAGGAAATCTTGGGGCCCACCTGAATGAATACCCGGCTCGTGGGATCCCGCCTCCAACTTCAATAAAATTATTTCCACCCCTTTCTTCCTGCCTTGATAATCCTGGTGAAACGCGGGCAGGATGGTAGTTCCCGGAAGGCGATCTGGACGTACTCTCAGTAGTCAATTTGTTTTCACCACAATGTTCCGCCCTCCTAGACGTTGCCAGTCGGAGTCACGTGATCGCCGAGTCAGCTGACCTGCGTTGAGCTGGAAGAAGTCCTGGCTTCGGTCTCTTGGCACCATGGTGAGGGATTACTGAAGCTCCGTAGCCGGGTTTCGGGCGAGAAGGGGTTTTGGTGGCTCTAGGAGCATAACGAGGGAATCTTCACTGGCGCCAGCTGGGCGCGGCGAGACGGCCGAGTCCGCAAGCGCAGCCATGCATCACTGCGTGGGCGCTCGACCGCGTTCATTCCCGGGCCTGGAAGGACCAGGATTCCCACACACTCTCCCACAGCCCCAAGAGGATCTCCCGCGGGAGCCCACTTCCCCGACTATCGGGTGACCAAGACGAGAACGTGCTTGGGACGGGTCCGCACGGTTAGGAAGCCTCCCCACGTTCCAGAGCCAGGAAGTAGTTTTTGATTGGATTGAGCTTTCTGACTCATCCATTCACTGAGCAGATTCGTATTGAGTGTTCAGCCAGCAGAGGCATCTGAATCTCAGCTGCAAAAAAGGGGGGAGGGGCAAGCCAGAAGCAGGAATTGGCAGGGGTAGTTCTTTCTCCAACCGCAGAGACTTTCCCTGAACCTTGGGCTCACTCGGCTCGGTGAAGAGCAGTTTGTGTAGTCCTGTTGGGAAGCAGGGCCGAAGATGGAAGGGTGTCCTCAGACAGGGGACGGTTGTACAACCTCCGAAAGAGCTAGATCCCCGGGAGAGTGCACATCTTGTCTTGCTAGAGCTTGGTGAAGATCGACCCCAATATTGCCAACAAGCCCCCAAAAACCTAGGATCAGGAAGATCCCATCTGATGATTTGTTTAAGTGATCTCTGAATGAGACGGGAGGGTGGGCGCATGGTGAATGAGGATAGAGGGTCCAGCAAGGATGAAGGCTAAGGTAGCATCCAGCAAGCTGTTGTGGCTGGGGCATGGTGGGCACTTATGTAGAACTGCCTTGCCACCAATTGATGTTTGTTGAGCAGTAAAAGTCAGATGGCATTGTGGGCAGGGAGCGAGTACTCAGGACAGCCTGGTGATAGGAGAGAACAGGTATCAGAGAGTACTCATCCTGGACATGGATCCTGACCACCTTGGCCCTTCCCACAGCCTGATTTCCTACCTTACCCTCTTGCAGAGGTTCCGGTTTTGTGGCGATCTGGACTGTCCTGATTGGGTCCTGGCAGAGATCAGCACACTGGCCAAGATTGTTGAGTGAACTAGTTAACTTAGGGTTGGGAGGAGAGAGTCTTGGGTTTGGGGTGGAGGGAGGAGATTGGGCCTGAGAGCTGGAGGTAGGGTGGGGTGGAGTGGGGGAGTCTCCCTGAAGGATATGGGAGCCTCCATGCTATGTGCCTTGGTCACAGTCACATGGCAGGCCCTCCTTCAGTCAACCCCCGAGAAGTGAGGGGTTAGATGGGTCAGTCTGGCTGAAACAGTGACATCCTTTCCAGTCCTCTGTGAAACTGCGACTGCTGTGTAGCCAGGTGCTAAAGGAGCTTCTGGGGCAGGGGATTGATGTGAGTACAGGAGCCAACATTCCATTGTCCAATAACTTGTGAGCCCCAGAGAAGTCTGTTCTGCAGCCTCCCAGCCCCAGCACAGTCCTTACCACAGGTGCTGGGCCAGGGGCAAGGGGCTGGTGACAGACTCTGGCACCCCCTGAGGACCCCTTTTCCCCATAGTATGAGAAGGTCCTGAAGCTCACTGCTGATGCCAAATTTGGTGAGTACCCCTGATCGGGAACCATAGCCTTCCATGACCCTCCTGCTTCTGGGGAGGAGAGGAAGGGAAGAACCATATTGATAGCCCTGTCCCCACCCTCTGCCACCACCTCCTGATCTAGTAGTAGTACCCAGGGTTCAAGAAACTTGGGGCCCAAAGCTGAAGATACCGGGACAGGGAAGTGGCTGGGGCCACAGTGACCCCTCTTGTCTCCGCTGTGGGCCTCTAGAGTCTGGAGATGTGAAGGCCACAGTCGCAGTGCTGAGTTTCATCCTCTCCAGTGCAGCCAAGCATAGTGTGGACAGCGATTCCCTCTCCAGTGAGTTGCAGCAGCTGGGGCTGCCCAGAGGTACGCAGGGTAGACAGGCAAGTAGGAAACCTGTGGGTAGGGGTTCCCGGAGGGTACGCCGAGGCCTTGTTGACCCTGGGGTGTACCCAATCCTCTGTGAGTCGGGGATCCTGACATCCACCCCTTAAGCCCAGTGTCAGTCTCCACCTGCCACCTCAGCAGGGCTCCGTCTCCCTGCAGAGCACGCTACCAGTCTGTGCCGCTGTTATGAAGAGAAGCAGAGCCCCCTACAGGAGCACCTTCGGGCCTGCAGCCTGCGTGGTGAGTATGAAAATAGTGAGGGCAGGGATATGGGCTGTACTCTAGAAGGTACAAACACAAGTCAACTGCCATTTCTCCAGGGAAAAGCTTTAACCACAATTACACACTGGGGCAGTTGAAGAGTTTAGAACTGGCCAAGGATCGCATGACTACTGCCTGGGTTTCTTTTTTTCTGAGGCCCATGGTAGATATTCAACTACTTGCCCTGCAACAGGCCTGGATTGGAGGCTTTGTAGGCTACATAGCCTTGAAGGGCTGTGGGATGAGCCCCATCCTGGAGTGAGGTGGAGGACTTCCTGAGTTGCCTGATTGATAGCTGCCTAACTTCTTGCCTGCAGTGAACAGGCTGGCCAATGTGGGCTGGCGTGTGGACTACACCCTAAGCTCCAGCCTGCTCCGTTCTGTGGAGGAACCCATGGTGCACCTGCAGCTAGAGGTTGTACCTGCCCCAGGTGCCCTGGCCCAACCTGTTTCCATGTCCCTCTCAGCAGACAAGTTCCAGGTTCTCCTGGCAGGTGAGGCTGGACCTACAGAGAGTGGGGGCTCTCGCTGGGTCTGGCTGTCCTGGAACTGGTTCTAAAGGCCAGGCTGGCCTTAGACTGGCTTCTGCCCCTTACCACTCCCTGTGCACCCCCTTGTCCCCTGCAGAACTGAAACAGGCCCAGACCCTGATGACCGCTTTGGGCTGAGAAAGGTGTTCCTGGCCTCCGTGTTCCACACTTCCAAGGCTGGCCCTGTCCTCTTGGGTCTCTGGCTGCCTGGCTTTCTACATAGTGCTCCTGGGGAGGGGGGTCTTCCCCAGAATTCCCTTCTTTCCTTTGAAAGAAAGTTCTTGTCAACTATTTTACAGGAAAAAAAGAATAAACTCATATACAGGCAGCAATGTGTACGGGGCTTGTTTGCTTCTGTTGTTGTTTTCAACAGAAGTCCTGAGTCCAAGTTGAACTCCAAGTAAGAGAGATCAGGTGACAATCTGACCACCCTGCCCATCACTTTCAGTGTCACTTGCTTGCTGGGAGCCTGAAGACAAGGTCTACACAGAAAGGGCAGAGCCAAGAGGACCACAAGTCAGAGCTAGCACCCTCTTGCCTATCTGTGTTGAGAAAATATGTCATTCATGGCCACATTCCAAGTCTGCTCATGTTACCTGAGAAACTGTCACTAATTAATTAAAAAGCTGGGCCTGGAGAGAAAGCTGAGTAGTCAGAGCACTGGCTGCTCTAGGAGAGGGACCTAGGCTTGATTCCCAGCACCTACAAGGCAGCTCACAGCTGATGGGAGATGTCATTCTATATGTGTTTCTCTTATTGGTTAATGAATAAAGCCCTGTTGGCCAATAGGAAAGCAAGATAGGCAGGACGAGGGGACAAGGAGGATTCTGAGAGATATAGTAGAGTCGAGATGTAGGCCATGAGAGGAATAAGAGGACCAGACTCTTTCTCTCCTCTGTAAGACCATGTGGAAACACTTAGATTGATAGAAATGAGTTACTGTTGGCCAATGGCTAGAGCTTCTTAGTAGCCAATAAGAAGCTCTAGCCATTGGCCAACAGCTTTATAACTAATAGAGTCTCTCTGTGTTATTTTGGGGCTGACGCAGCTGTGGGACCAGGCTGGCAGGAAAATGCTCTTAACACACAACTGTCTGTAACACCACTTCCAGAAGATCCCATGTCTGCTGGCCTCCAAGGGCATTGTGTGAACATTGTGCACAAACACACATGTAGGTTCAAACATACATAAAAGAAATTTTAGGAAGAAAAAAATTTTTTTAAATACAAGAGTCCATAATGACAAAAACAAAACGAAAACAACAAAAAAACACTGCCTTAAATGCAGACCAATACAGTTTGTCACTGTCATACACAATTACTGCACCAAAATCTTAGTCTGAAAATTGGTAAAGGCACCAGGCATGGGGCACACACCTTTAACCCCAGCAGGAGCAGATGCAAGGGAATCTATGTGAGTTCGAGGCCAGCTTGGTCAACAGATCAAGTTCCAGGACAGCCAAGGCTACACAAAAACCTTGTCCCAAAAAAATAAAAAGAAAAAAAAATTGGTAAAGGAAGAAAGAATCTTTGGGTTAGAGTTACAGCTCAGTGGTAGAGTGTTTACCTGCCATATACAAGGCCTTAGGTTTGATTTTCAGAACTGGAAAAATAAACAGACATGGGCCAGATGAAGTGGTAAACACCGGTAACTGAAGCATAGAAGCTAAAGCAGGAGGTGAGTTTGAGGACAACCTGAACTACATAGTAGTATCTTCTTTCAAAAAGTAAATGTAAATAAAAGATCAGCGGGTATGGTTGCTTATATATTAATCCCAGCACTCAGGAAGCAGAAGCAGGAAGGTTTCTGTGAGTTCAAGGTCAACTGGGTCTACATAATGAGTGAACAACCAGGGCTACATAGAGAGATCCTTTTTCAAAAGCAGAAAGATCATTTATCCAAACAAAAACAAACAAACAAACAAAAAAACCAAATTCACACTCAATAAGGTGAAACTTTTTTTTTTTACAACTAGTTGATTGCAACTAGTTGATACATAAGTATTGATAGAATAGAGCCAGGCTTCATGGTATGCACCTGAAATACCAGAACATGGGAAATGAAGGCAAAGGATTAGGGCCATGTCCAGCCTTGTCTACACATAGCATGTGGGATACAGGAGACGTCAAAAACAAAGGAGGAGAGGGTGGGGAAGGAAGAGGTCAACATTTGTAACTGGTAACTAGACCTGTGCAAAGAGCTGTGCCCAGTGGTGCCAACCTATCATCCCAGCTGCTCCAGAGGCTGAAGCAGGATTTTGAGCAGGTTCATTAATCTCCATGAGTTCAAAGCCAGCATGGTCTTCAGAGCAATTTCCGGGACAACCAGGGCTACACAGAGAAACCCTGTCTTGAAAAACAAAACAAACCAGCTGGGTATGGTAGTCAATACTGTTGATCCCAGCACTCCGGAAGCACAGGCAGGTGGTGACTGTGAGTTCAGAGCCAGACTGGTCTTCATCGCCAGTTCTAGGAAAGCCAGGGCTACATAGTGAGGCCTGTCTTTAAAAAAAGTTAAATGTTGATGTGAAAGTGGATATTTGCATGGGCTGAAAAAACAATCACTAATATACCCAAATGCCCCCAGGGGTTGACTGCATAAACAAAGTGGCTTGTCTACACAACAGAATTTCAAGAGGAATGGGCTACTGAGTAAAACAGCAGTGGCAAATTTAGGAGTAGAAGATAAAATATACTCCCTAAATTGTGATAAGAGCAGTTAACATGGAGGGCTCAGAGGTGAAGGCACTGGCTTGCTTTTTGATCCTGGAAACCCATGTGAAAAAGCAGATGTAGTAGCAAGCATTTGTAATCTCAGCACTTTAAATCAAGATGGGAGGTGGAGACAGGAGAATTGCCCAGAAGCTCTGGGGATGTCTAGGCTGGAGTGTGTTTCAGCAGCATAAACAAGAGAGAGCTGCTTCAACTGGCAGGAGAGAACGGACTCCTGCAAGTTGTCCTCTGACCTCCACACATGCACTGTGGTACATGACTGTCCTCCATCACATACATGTCACAAAAACAATATAATAAAAAGAATACAACATGAGAGTCATCCTATTAAAGTTTTGTTGCATGGCCATGCTAACTACAGAGCCCATGCTGCACTTGGGCAACTGAAACTTCATTCCTGTTATCAACTTCCTCTCCCTCCTTTCTACAAAAAGTATCCTGTCTACACTTTTTGTGTCTGAGGTTGTGACAGACCAAGCAAGCTTTTGTGCCTAAATCCTGACTTTTCCTAAGGCTGCAACAGAGCCCCCCCCCCCCCCCAAGCCTCTTAACCGGATTCCATTTAAAACCCCTGTTGTTGCCTGATGCACTTCCAGTTCCGTAAGTAGTGATAATGCTTGTATGTTATGTCTGACTGCACTGACATTTATGGTCGTCTTGGGTCCCCAGGGATTGTTTATCATGCACCTGTGGGTCTTGCACACAGGTGCAGGTGGCTCTACACAGTCGGTGCCTTTTCCGGCTGAGGGTGTCAACCCTTGCCAGACTAACTGGTAACTTCAGCTGCAGACAGCTGCGACTCCGGGCACCCGTTCTGACCACGGCTCCGCTCTCGGTAAGTCGGGTTCTTTCGCTACCTCCAGGCGGAGCGACTGCCCAAAGCTTGCCCAACACCCGGATCCCCACAACTAAAGCAAGCCATAGCATACTCGCCGCCTGACCAAAGAACTACGCTTCCCAGCAGGAGCCAGGGCGGCTACGTCCTCTCCCAGCGTGCTCTGAGGTTCCGGCAGATCACCGTGATTAACTCCTTTAGTGGCTGCAATCTGCGGTTGAGCCACAACTAGCGTAGGTATCCAGCTTGGATTCGGGGAACTGAAGATCTAAAATATCTGGGATCCTGGGAAGGCAGGAAACTCAAGATTTTGGTGGGGGGGGGGGAGGTCCCATAGAGAACCCCGCCTCCTCGCAAAAATAGGAAGGTTTTCTGATAATCAAACCCTTTTTTGGTGCCTAGGCTTCTGCCCTAGCTAAACTGCCCCCCCCCCGCGCGCGCCAGTCTTCCTGACACCTCAAATCCTGCAAGTAGCAAAGATGATGATGGTGTGAGGGCAAAGAACCAGAGCCCTACTGGCACCCCTAGTACACCTACCCCCCCCCACACACACACAGGTGTGAGGGCAAAGAACCAGAGCCCTACTGGCACTCCTAGTATACCTACCCCCCCCCCACACACACACACAGGTGTGAGGGCAAAGAACCAGAGCCCTACTGGCACTCCTAGTATACCTACCCCCCCCACACACACACACATGCACACCTCATCCCTGGGGTCTGTGAAAATAGGGTTGTGCATAAATGGAGCATCCCTCCTCCTAGTTCTTGCTCTCTGCCCTGACTAGAGGGCATGTGGGAGAGAGCCTCTTTTTCCTGTCTTTGTGGTGATGGTAGTCTAGGTCTATGCTGCTGGCCCAACATGCAGTTGAGTTTTTACCTCTATGGATGCTAGAGACATCCGGGGCAGTCAAAGCTGTGGTCAGAACTTTGCCTTTGGAGTGCCAGCAGGTAGAGGCTGGAACAGGTGGTGAGATGCTTTGAACTTTGGGAGCTCCAAAGTCAAGATGTGTCTGGGGAGAAAGAAGGCCTCCCTCAAACATCCTACTGTGTGTGGTGGGGGAACAGGAGGGGTGAAGGCCTGGAGATGGGAGGAACAGGTTTGTGGGTGGTGTGGGGGAGCTCAGAGGACACAAGGAAACAGGCTCCAGCAAGGATCTGAATAGCATTCTAAAACCAGGTGTGGAAGCCCATGGAAGGAAAGAATTAGTGAGCAAGACAGCCATCCTGACTTCCAGCTTCAGCTTCCCAGTACCCTGGCCCTGGCCTTGTTAGCACTGTGGATGGGGAATGCCTGTGGCTAGGTCAGCATCCTCCTGCCTATCCTAGGTGGCCATACACCTCTCTGGCTCTCGACCTTTTCCTCTGTAAAATCTTGGTGACAATTCCTACTTAACAAGATACCTTCTGGCACAGCTTGTTGTTCTTTTCCCTTTACAGGGGCTGCCATTCCTTCTTCAGAATGCCAGAGGGCCCAGAGCTGCACCTGGCCAGCCACTTTGTAAATGAGACATGTAAGGGGCTGGTATTTGGCGGGTGTGTAGAGAAGTCCTCTGTCAGCCGCAACCCTGAGGTGCCCTTTGAGAGCAGTGCCTACCACATCTCAGCCTTAGCCCGAGGCAAGGAGCTTCGCCTGACCTTGAGTCCCCTGCCTGGTGCCCAGCCTCCTCAGAAGCCACTGTCCCTTGTCTTCCGCTTTGGTATGACTGGATCCTTCCAGCTGGCACCTGCAGATGCATTGCCGCTCCATGCCCATCTACGTTTTTACACGGCCCCACCTGCCCCGAGGCTTGCCCTTTGCTTCGTGGACATCCGCCGATTTGGACACTGGGACCCTGGGGGTGAATGGCAGCCAGGCCGTGGACCCTGTGTCTTGCTGGAGTATGAACGGTTCAGGTAGGACTGGGTATGTAGGGTACCATCCAAGCCCACAAGAAACAAATCCTAGCCCCTACTGGGCCTCAGTCTCTCATCTGTAGATTGAGATGATGTCAGGGCAGGCTGAAGGAGGAAGGACAGCCAAAGGTCTGAGGACACAGAAACAGCATTAGAGTTGAGCTGGGACCCAGCATCCCAATTCGCTTTCTGGTGGTCCCAGGGCATCAAGGAAGGTAGAGGGCTTTCACCACACCTTAACAAGTCTGCACAATGGGAAGAGGGTGGTCTAGTGACCCTGTCAGGTTTTGGTGGTCTTTGCATTCTGTCTGCTCACCTGTCTATGTCCTGGGGTCTCCTCTATGACTGTCCCTGTTATCAGTACTTCCTCTAAAGAGTCAATAAGAGTCTCTGCTCCAAGACAGGCCCTGTAGGGTACATCCCTGTAGGGATGAATATGATCCCTTCGTTCACTGAACTGGTGATGTGCTGGTAAGGCAGGCAGCCAGGACACAGGATAAATCCACAGACCTTTGGCCAAGGGTGGGGAGCACATCAGGAAGGCCACATAAGGAAGTGTTTGAGCTAAGATCTGAATGGTGGAGATGGAGCCAGCTGTGTAAAGCTTGGAGGAGTCTTGGCAAGAAGTGAAGGTGTGCAGGTCTGAGGTAGGCCTGGCACTTTCTCATTTTCCCTCTGTGCCTCTGTGGAGCCCTAGACTTTGTCATATCTCTGGTGTCCCAGCAGCAATTGACTCCTGGCTGGCCCAGGAGAACCACTCTCGATAGCCCTGGGTTAGCGTTGCTTCATCTTTTCTATGGAGTTGGGGGGCATAGGCTGCTTGCCAGCAGGTTCTATTTCGTCTCTTGATAGACCTCAGAGCTGTTTCCACAGTCTTCCAGCTTGTGCTAGAGTGAGGGGAGGGGGTCAGCACCACACAGAAGCATCTCCTTTTTTTTTCTTAGAACTTCTTGTCACACACTCACTCATGCCCACCACCCAGCCAGTCCTTCATACTTTGAGGAAGTAGGGGCAAGTTGAGACAGGATTTCACTCTATCCCAGGATGGCCTGGTATTTGCTACATACTTATGGTAGTAGGGTTACTGCCTCAGCCTTTCCAGTATTATGGTCACAGGCATAGCCACCACACCTTGTGGTGTGTGTGTGTGTGTTATATAGTCCTGCTCAGCCTGGGATTAGCTGTTGGTAAGGCTAGCCCCAGACTTGCCTCTATCCTTCTGTCTCAGCCCCCCCCCCCCAAGTATTGAGATTTCAGCTGTGAGCCACCATGCCTAGCTGAACATTTTTGATTCTTTAACAATAAACAACTCCATATTGTTCCCATGTAACAAACAGGAAAACTGAGGCTCCAGCTGTGTAAATAGTAATGAGACCAGAGGGAGCTGGGACCGTTTCCCTTTGCACCAGGAATAGCCTCCCCAGCCCTTCATCCCTCTCCTGAGGTGAGGGATGGGTCTCATGCATCCAGCCTATGTCCCTGTAGGGACAACGTACTTCGGAACCTATCAGACAAAGCCTTTGACCGGCCCATCTGCGAAGCCTTGTTGGACCAGAGATTCTTCAATGGCATTGGCAACTATCTGCGGGCAGAGATCTTGTACCGGTCAGCAGGAAGGCTGTGGGAACAGTGGCTGGAGTAGGGTATGGGTGGTCACATCCACCATTTAACCTGGGCCCTCCTCACCATCCCAGGCTGAAGATGCCCCCTTTTGAGAAGGCCCGTACAGTTCTAGAGTCCCTGCAACAGTGCCGGCCGGTGAGGACAGTGCACAAGCACGTGTGTGCTGGTGTGGGTGGCAAGGGTATGGGTAGTCACATGTCTCTACCTTAGCTCACCAAGTGTGTGGAGGGTGTCCTCCACACACATCAAAGGTCTTGTCAGGTTTAAAGGGGAATCCATTGTCTTCAGTGTGAGGTGGGGTGAGAGCCGTGTTAACACCTTGGTTCTGCCCACACACCCTTCAGAACCCAGAGCTGACCCTGAGCCAGAAGATCAAGGCCAAACTTCAGAACCCAGACCTGCTGGAACTGTGTCACTTGGTGCCAAAGGAAGTGGTTCAGCTGGGTGAGGCCTGGGGAAGCCAAGATGGCTAGCGATGTCCGCTTTTGCCTCTGTGAGGTGCTGAGCAGCTGTCCTCTTGGCCGTGGGGAATGGGACTTTGCTTAACAGACCAGGTCTCTTGGCATGTTTCCACATCCTCCCAGCCTGCCATGCAGTAGAAGGGACAAGGATTCACCTTGCTGATGGAGAGGGGCCAGGACACCAACCTAGTCACAGTGGGAGGAGGGAGTGTGGCGCTGAGCCATGTTGAACCAGACTCCTTGTTCCTCCCATTCCACAACACCCCTCACCTCTAACTGGTTCCTCCGTCCCTCAGGGGGCAAAGGCTATGGACCAGAGCGTGGAGAAGAGGATTTTGCTGCCTTTCGAGCTTGGCTGCGGTGCTATGGCATGCCAGGCATGAGTTCCCTGCGAGACCGGCATGGTCGTACCATCTGGTTCCAGGTTTGAGACCTATTGCTCAGATGCAGCTTGGGGTAGCAAGATAGGTCTGAGCCAGGTAGAGATGACCTTAGCTTGTGGAGGCCTGCCAAAGATCACATTGTTCCTGAGTGTACAGTATAGTTCTCCAGTGTGATACTCTTCTCCTTGGAGTCCCAGGGTCTAAGCCAGTCAAGGCAGTGTGTGTGTTGAGAGAAAGGTAGAGGGGTATGCTGCTCTGAAAGGATAGATATGGTCCTACCACCCCATGGAAAACTGCCTGTTCACCAGACCAGGTTGACTCAGAATTGTCCTCATTCTGTTTTAGGGTGATCCCGGGCCCTTGGCACCCAAAGGTAAGCAACTCTTAATGTAATAAAGAGGTGGAAGGCCATGGGCCAGCCTTACACACCCACCCTCCCATCCTTCTCTAATCTTGGAGTCACCCAGCAGTAAGTCTAGAGAGGGGCTGAATCAGCCCTAGGGCTAACTCCAGGACAACATTCAACAGGGGGCAGATCCCGGAAGAGGAAACCAAAGGGGACACAGCTGGGGCCTGAGGACAGAAAAGAGGTATGAGCCCCAGCCCACCAGCTAGCCAGTCAGAGTCCTCTGCACTGACTCTTGCCAACTCCACTTCTCAGGCCAGGCTCCCAGCCAGCTGTCTTCCTCTCTCCAGGGGGTACTGGTGCATGGTGGGGAATGTGAACTGCTAGGAAGAAAACCAATAAGGGCCATTTTCTCTGTCCAGGACCTTCTGCTTTCAAGGAAGTCCATTTCCAGGACGCGGAGGCCCAAGAAACACCCTAAGACTATAGCTCAACAGTCTGCAGGGACCAGCCTCCAACAAAACCAGGGAACCCCTACACCCCCCAAGAAAGGAAAGAGAGGGGGGCGACCGGCCACCACAGGTGGGCCTTTTCAACATCCTGGAGCTGGAAAGGGACCCCAGGGAGTGGCTCTTCAGGGAGGATGGAAGGTAATACAGGGTGGACAGAGAGGAAGGCCTAGTTCAGGACACAAGAGTCACTGCCTCACCTGCTCTCCCCACAGGTCACCGCAGACCCCCAAAGAGTAAGGCCAATACCCAATCCAGGGAGACTGGGGGAACTTCAGCCTCATAGATGGAGGTTTCCTTGCTTGGATTCTCTTCCCTGCTGCCTTGCTATGAATCTAGGGCATGTCTGAATCCCTGGAAGCAATGTGCCCTAGCCCCCGTGACTTTTCCTATACAACTGTTTTTTGAAGCAGGGTCTCAAGGCTGGCCTTGAGCACATGTGTACCTAAGGATGACAATGAACTCCTGATTGACCTTCCTGCCTTCCTTTCCATAACTGCTGGCATTACAGGTGTGAGTCACCACACCCTATTGATTTTTTTGTTGTTGTAGTCTTTTCAAGACAGGGTTTCTCAGTGTAGCCCTGGCTGTCCTGGAACTTGCTTTGTAGACCAAGCTGGCCTTGAACTCAGAGATCCACCTGCCTCTGCCTCCTGAGGGCTGGTATTAAAGGTATGTGCCACCACCTCCTGGCTTGTGATGTTAATAAATATATGCCATCTTCCTCATGCTTTTTAAAGTCCATGTGAAAACATTAACAAACTAGTAAATCTGAACTTCTTAGGCTGCATAAGGTATGAGAAGGCCAGATTGAAAAGGCATGATGCATGGCTCCACCTACTTATAAATGCTAATTCTATATTTTCCATCCTTCCCCCACTGGAAACTCAATCAGAGGACAGTGTGCCTCTGCAGAGCCAGCCCCTCTGCAGACCTGGGCTCAGGTAGTCCAGCATTCTTCAGGGCCTCTGGTGGGATATACTCCCAGCCTAACATTTGCCCAAAGCCCTAGAGCCACAAGCTAGACTCTGCACACACAGGCAACCTTAGATCTTGCCCCTGGAAAGTAGCTCTTTTCATCCTCCTTACAGCCCAAGGAGTGGCCTGACCAGGAGCAGCAACGTTGGATTAGGGCTGCTAATCTAAGCATTTATTGCACAAGATGCTTGTTTTGGGCTGAGGAGGTGGAAATGAGGAGTTCCTAAAGCTTTCCACAAACAAGACTCAGTTTGGTGGAGGCTGAAGCACGAGCAATAGGGACCTCACTTGAAAGGGAGAAAAGGTAAGCTTCAGGCGGTTGTCCCGAAGGGACAAGTGACCAGTAGGGTCTCGCTGCTCCAGGAGGTCACAACTGGATGGAGAAAAGGAGAGGCCGTAAGGACTGACAAGGGCAGGGCTCCTCCCATCTCTACCTCTATCTCGTTTCCACTCACAGGATGGCCTCCTGAACGGGCAAAGATGTGTGTAGCCAGCAGTCCACATGGCTGCCATAGGCCTCATACAGCCTTAGAACCAGTGTGCGGTGCTGATGGCTCTTCTCAGCCTGCAAAAGGAAAGCAGGGTGGTGGGCAGGGCCAAGACCTGTGTATCCCAGGAACCTCCCCAGACTATCCTGTCCCTTGCCTGCTTGATGGTCTCCAACACTACTGCTGGTGAAGAGACAGAAAAGGCACTCCAGGTAGTGGCAGGTGCTGGGCCTGAAGCTGGCAGTGCCAGCAGAGGAAAGTTGAGGTTGTAGGCAGCATGGATAACGCCAGCCTCTTGGAAAGATCCTGGAGAAGGACCAGAAAGAAACACTTGTGGACAATGGGTCTCCCCACAGAGCCTCTAGAGAAGATATGGGGCTAAACTGCCTCAGTTTACTACAGTATCTGTTGGAGATTCAGAAAAGGGCAGAGAGGTGTCAAAAGTAACAGAAGGGCCCCATCACCCTGGTACTTACCCTTGTGTGGCATCAAGGCATAAGTGAATTCATGGCGCCCCATATCGGCAGTAACATCTGGGGCCTTAGGTGCACGCAACCTGGAGTGGGAGGGAGAAACTGGAGGGCTGGAGTTCGAGTACAGGAAGCCCCACAACCACGCTGGCCCTGGGCCTGGCAGGCACTGCACTCACAGTGAGAGGCTAAGGACATTGCCTCGTACTGACGTTCCATACTTGCAGTTGTTGAGCAGGGCCAACCCAAAGTCACACTCAGACAGATCTATCCAGCGGTGGGCCCATACCTGAAGGGCAGACCCAAGGCCTATGGGTGAATCTACCCCAAAGCTCTTTTCAGTAGGAGCCTATGGTTGCATCTTAGCTGACACCCAAGGAAGCTTTGGGCATGCCATCCCACCTGTCTGCCTGCCTCCTGCCTACCTGTCTGGTAACGGTGGCTATAGTATCAAACCAAAGTAAAGGATTTACCAAATGCCTAGCCCGTGTTAGAAGCCACAGGTGTCAGACATTTTCCTCCTCTGGTCCACAAACTACAAAATTAGTCTCTCCTCAGTCAGGGATGAGTCCAAGCCCCACCCTTCCCCCCATTTCCCACATCAGACCTCATATCGAGCCCAGTCCCAAGAGGTGTTATAGTGGGTAGGCCTCTGAAGGTGCCCGAACTGGATCTCATAGGTGGCCCAGGGACTCCGTATTCGAGCAGGGAACTCCACCTTGAGGAACTTGTGGGCCTCATGCCAGTGCACCTGGGAGTGGAATGGAGGGTGAGGACAAGAGAAGGGCACTAGGTCTCTTCACCAGGCCCATCTGGGAAGAGGGCCACTACCCTGCCCCTTCTACCTCAGTGTGGAAGCGGACATAGGGGCAACCAATGTCCAGCACAACCTCCTGGCTGAGCCGACTGCTGGGGCTGATCTGCAGCAGGAACCAGGCACTGCCCCGAAGGCCACCTTCAGCGCCTACTGCCAGGGTCCCTGCCTGGCCCCGCACAGGTTTCCTGTGGGATGAAGGTGGGAGGCACTAAGCCAGAGCAGTGTGTATCCAAACCATGACTACCCCCAGGACCTGCCTAGTATGTACCGTGTCTCTAGGTGATAGTCCATGACATCCCACGCATCCCAATACAACGGCACATCATCAAACAGCACAAACTGGTTCCCCACGGCACCCTCAGCAATCGCCTCCCTGGAAGGACATGAAGGCAGGTGCTTCACAAGAGTATGGCCTTGCTCTCTCCAGCTGTGCTTGGTGGGGACAGGTTAAACAGGGCCAGGGGCCAAGAGACTGCCAGCCCAGCCTGCCCCGCCCCAAGTGTGGTTCCAGCCTCAAGGCACTTGTAGACTACTTGGACAGTGTGGTGGCTAGGGGACAGAGGGAAGAGGCAGAGTTTGGGATCTACTCGCCAGGCATGGGGTTAAGAACAAGGAAGGGTTGGCACCTGCCAGAAGCCACCAGGACCAGCGAAGTAACACAGCCAGTTGGGTCCAGTCTCACCCGGATGATGCCATTGTCCAGAGTCACAGAACCGTCAGTCTTGGGTGGGAGAGTCCTCAAGCTGAGTCAGCTTGTGTTCCCCACCCCTAGCCCAGCCCTCCTAAAGCCAGGCATTACCCCAGAACCTTTCTCAAGACCCAGGCACGCCCCAGAGAAAGCCTCACCCCATTGGGAGCTGCTGGAACTTACCTCCTGCACCACAAACACAGGCTGCTGGGTCAGCAGGGGCTGCGGTGAGGTAGGGGTGGGAGCAGGAGCATAGCCAACACTGGGCACTGTCACCAGGGCTGGGGACAAGGCCGGGCATCAGTGTCACCTCTCTGACCTTCTAGAAACCTTACTCAGGTTAAGGATAGGTTGAGTGGATAAGCTGTAGCTGCTTCTCTCCAGACTGGAGCGCCCTGGGGAAGTCTCCCTGCCATGCTGCCTAGCCTTGGTTCTTCCCGCTGCAGGACCAGCCTTCCCCTTCAGCTCATACCTAGGCTGTGAGCCCCACCAGGCTTGGGCAATGCCAACACTTCAGTGCGCTTCCAGGGCAGCGTGTTGAAAATGAGGAGGCCTTCAGGACCTGGCTCCCCAGCACACAAGGCTGCAGCTGCCGCACTGAGCAACATACTGCCATGGGAGCGGATGTCTGAGGAGAGATGGGTTTAATCATGGGTGGGCAATGGGTTCCACTTGGCCCTGGGTGGAGAGCAGCGGGACCACTATGAATTCAGGTCAGTCTCACCTTCATAGTAGCTCAAGGCATCTTCTGCCACCAGCTGAATGCAGCTTCCAGTCAACACATCATGAAACTGGTTGAGGAGTAGGAGCCTGCAGGGACCAAAGGCAGAAGGGAAGGCTGGGAAGAGCAGCCAGTGGGAGGGTGGGAAGTCAGGTGAGCAGCAGAGACATCGGACTGACCTCCAGAGATGCTGCAACTGGGCTGCTGGGTATAGGAACTGAGCACTTCGGGCTAGGGCCAGGCTGCTCAGCAGCTCCACATCATGAAGGATTTGCTCACATTCCCGGTTCCTCTTCTTGAGCTGTGCCCAGGGAGGGAGAATCTGCTTGGAGTCTGCTGTGATCTAAGATACCTTCAAAAGCTCTCTTGCTCAGAACCCTTGACAGCTTCCAAAGGCCTTCTGGACATGATCTCTCATAGGAAACTTACCCCAAGTGGCCCTCCCACCTGAGAGGCTGCCTCACCTCCTGCCTGTGTGAGGGATTAACCCAGCTATTACCTCTTCTTTTCAAACCTCTACTTGGGAGAAGCCACTGAACACCACCTTCACCCTCCCCACCCCCTTTCCCGACGGCCCTACACAGACTAAGGCCCTCTTTTGTTAGGTTGGTAGCCTGGCCCTGACCTGGGCATGGGTGGTATAGGTGCCATTGTGTAGTTCCAGGAAGAGTTCCCCAACCCATGTGCACAGCTGCACTGAGTCTCTCTCCAGTGCTGTGAAGAGCTGTCCAGGCGAAGATAGCTGCACTCTGAGGAAGACCACAAGCCTGGGCTCCCAGGTGGGAGCCCTATAGTTTGCCCTTGCTCTACAGTGCAGACCAGAGGGCCCCACAGAGAGGACACGCCCTAGAAAATCCCCTGTATATAGTGCTGCACTCAGGTAGGGTCAAGCCCCTTCCTACAACAGAATTTCCCTCTACCCTAGCCCCATAGTGGGAGTTTGGAAGATTGAGAGACACGAGGTCCAGTGGAAGGGTTGAGTTTGATATATAAATAGAAGGCAGAGTTAGGGAAAGAGCTCAAGGGTGGGGCTACATGAAGGTGGCTTGAGAGCCAAGGGTTGATGTCGGCTCAGGCCTGACCTGGGCAGCCCATCAGTGTTGCCCAACCGCTTTAGGCGGTCCAGCATGGTCTGTGTGGGACCACCTCCTCCATCTCCAAAGCCGAAGAGAAAGCCACTATGGTTGGTCCGCCCCTTGTCCCGATTGTTGGTCACTGTCTTCAGCACCTAGATGGATAGGGACAGGTCAGCCTAGGACAGGACACCCAGCCATCTCTGAATCCTCAGCATCATATATCGCCTCACCTCCTCCACACT